GTGCAACCACTGACTCTAGGAAGAGTTTATCCCTTGAAACTCAAATAATTTACAACAGGAAAAATATCCCATAGAATTTCATCCAATTATGAAAGTCACTTTTAATCTAAAGTTAAATGAGGTTTCAGAAACTTTAATTATAGCATGTGTCTACCATTTCTCACTTCAAATTAGACATATGTTAAGAACGACTGTGAAAAAATAAAAAACAAAACTGCTGAAATACATATAATGAAGCCAACCATTCCACAACTAGCTTATCTACAAGCTAACAAAAGTCAATATAGAATTAAAGAAACAATCTTGAAATGCCAGCAGATAGAAGAACAAATGAATTCACTTGAGTGGTAAAAGCATTTGTAAAATTCAAGCATAATCCCTTAAGTTATTGAGAAAAATCACATGAGCAGGACTGGGGCAGTCATTGTCTCTAGCTTTATTCTCTCTTCCTTTCTTTTCTAAAAAGTCTGGAAACCTGGCACGTGTTGAAAATGCTCAAAAAGATTAAGCAAATAACACATGCTTGAAGTTGATTTTTTAAAATTCTTCTCCCATTAGTAACCTGACAATAAATATAATTTGCAAACATACACACTGACTATGCTAGTATTTACAAAAACGTGTTTATTTCAGCCACTATGTGGGGAAAAAAAATTGGACCAAATCAGTTCTGCACCAAATCAATAAATATTAAAGTTCATTTGAGTCGAGTTTCAAAGGCCATCCCGGAAGTCCAAAACTGACTTAAGCAATGATGCCATCATTAGATTAATCTTCAATTATAATAATAATCACAGTTACAATTTACTGATGGTTAGGATCTTAGCTTAGGCACATTACATTCATCATCCTCAACCCTTTTAATGATGTCAGCTAAGTATTATAACTGTTAAGTAGCTTTTGGCAGGAAAGAGCTCTCTGTAAGGAGGCCCTTTGTGTCTTGTCACTTGCTTAACCTGTTGGGATTTTCCTATACATCAAAGAAGTAGAACTGGGGAATAAGTAATTGACAGATGACCAGATCTTGAACTTCCCCTACGTCCCCCTTCAGGAATCTCCAAACAAACTGTGACAAGACAGCATCAAAGGAAAATTCACAAGGAACTGACAAGCTTGCAGGCAGTGGGGGATGCCTATGACGCAGACCCCCTATCTCAAGGACTGAGATCACTTCCCCACTTCCCCTTTAAAACTTTTTCGGCTGAGCAGAATCTTAGGAGATGGTATTTGAGGAGACACTGGAGTCCACCACCTCCCCAGAGTGCTGGCTTTTCTGATTAAAGCACCTTTTCTTTCTGTTGACCCTTGCGTCTCGAATCATTGGCCTTTGAGCAGTAAGCAGCTGAACCTGAGTCTGGTAATGTAACTATCCTTCGAATGAAGAAACTGAAGGCTCCAGGAGTTAATAGGATTGTCCAAGGTCACTGGGCTGGGACTTAAACCTAAGACTCGAATGTCCTCGCTCATGCCACTTTTGCGCTGTACACCGTATAATTCCTCTTTCCTAAAGTGGCTATTTTAATGGGTGCAACACTCAACAAGATATTTAAGCCCAAGTGTAACTGTTTGTATTTTAATTCTAGATGAAATTATTATATTATTATTATATACGTATTTCAAAATACATCCGTATGTACAGAATGAGTGAAAGCATACTATCTTTTTCAAAAATGCTTCTAACCACACTACTAGTGTACTAAGAATTTTCATTTAACTCTAACAAATTGGCTACAGTTGACTGAACAAATCAGTTCACACGGTATCTATTTGTTTCTTCCTTAAAACGAAACCAAACCGAGATTTCTGTGGCAAGGCTGTGCCTACATAAAACACTACATCTCCCAGGCTCACCTGCAGTTAGGTGTGCCCAATGAGATGTACGCAAAGGCAGCTTTGTGGTGAGCATTTCTAAAGAGGAAGCGGACCGTGAGAATTACGAAGACCTGGTTGGCCCTAACATCCTTCAGCAGCTAAAACAGCAGCAGCAATGGCTTATATCTGGGGTTCTTACAAAAAAGAAAATACCTTTTAGGCTTGTAAACCACTCTAGTTAGATTGTCAGCTGCCACGGGATGCAATGTTAGCGGTCCACTGGGGGACCTGAGGATCATTCACATAAAGGATGAGCAAAGACAGCCTGATGGTCCAAACTGGTCCCCCTCTGCTTTTACATTTCATAAAGGATGTTTACTAGAACAGAGCCATACCCATTTACTTCATTATTTTTTGAGCGCTGCCATGGCCTGGTTGAATGGCTACCAGATGGGCTGAGACCAGATGGGTTGAGACCATCTGGCCTGAAAATTCGAAAAATATTTGCTGTCTGAAAGGCTTTAGGGAAGGAATTGACTGACATTTGATTTGAACACT